ATGAGCCCTTAATAAAATGATTTGGGGGAAAAAATCTAATGGGAAGAATGCCAAATTTAAAAAAAAAAGAATTCCAATTTATACTCCTTGCTTCAGATCCCCAAGCTGCCTGATGACAGCCAGCTTTCAAGTTTTGGGTTTCAAGCTTGACTTTTTATCAGCTCACCCCAGGGAGATCTTTGTCTCTTCAAGCCCTTCCTTCAACCTGTGCAGGTGAACTACTCTTCTCTCTGCAGGTCCATACATCTCCATGCCCTTTGCTCTCAGGGTTCATGCTGAGCCCCTAGGTCTGTGAGCGTACACTCCAAGCGGCCCACCTGAGAGAGCACCCCTTCCTCAGCCTGCATTCACTTCCTCCTGGTGACATCTTGCCCCATGTCACCTGTTCCACAACCCACATAGGCACGTCCCCAGCTCCCTGGAACATCCCCCTCAGATCTTTCCCCTTAATGCTACCAAGAACTCTAGCACTCCCCTTTCCCAGGCTGTCTTCCCTGGATGCAACCTACCAGCACTTCCACTGTACCACACTCCTGGGGCGAAGTAACTCCTGCAAGCACCACCCAGTCAAGAGATTCCAGAGCAGGTGGCAGGGCCCCCAGCCTCCATGCAGAACATCATCCATAGCGATTCCACCCACCTGTGGTCCTACACAGCTCTCACCTTCCTCTCTTCTCTTACACTCTCTCAGACTCAAGCTCAGAGCTCCTTCTCAAGTCTTGAGGGTAGGTGAAGAGCGTATCCTACCTATTCTCACCCCTTGCAAATCTCTTCTCCTACACCAGGCCCCTTCCCCTTAAGAGCTAAAAGCCAGGGGTCTGGCCTCTGTGCTACTTTTTAAAGGAATAGAAACTCTCTCTGATGTGGGGGTTGGCAAGGATGGCAAGTGGGACTGACCCTGGGCAAACACTGCCCACTCATCCACCTCACCAGCTTACTGAGCCACATCAGCATTTGGTGGGTGGTTGACAGGATCTCAGACCCCAGATAACACACTCTTGCCCTCCCTGATTTCAAACCTGAAATCTTGCAGCTGAGAGACCTGCCGTCAGAGGCTTTTCTGGAGGTCTAAGTTCTCCGGTGAGAGGCGGTGCCGGGAATGGCTGCAGTTCTACTCAGCTTGTCCTCCCCCCTCCCTGCCCTCTCTCCCAGCAATCTCCTCATTCGCAGGACTTCATAGAAGGAGCCCATGCACCAGAGCAGTGATGTCTTCTCAACCTCTCCCTATGACAGAACAGCTATGCACATCATGGCCAGGGCCACAGTTCAGGCTCCCCCACAGGGCCCAATGCCCAGTTCTCTGAAGGGCAGGTCCTCATCCCTAAGGGAAACTATCGCTTCCTGTCAACACATGGGACTTGAACAGATGGAGCCCTCCCCAAGTGTTGTCCCTCTGTCCCCATGAGTCCCCACACTGTTTTCATCACACTATATAGGTGAGGACACTAAATCCCAGAAAGACTGTGTCCCCCAGAGCACTCAGCTGTATGCCCCCTGGCCTGAGAGAGTATCGCTTCTACTGGATGGGATTTCTCTGACCTCAGGAAGATGGGAAAATGTGTCTTGAAATCAGACCCTCTCTCCTAAATCATTAGTTGTTTATTCTCTGTTGTTACAGATGCCCCGATCCTCAACATCAAACACCTATCAACACTAGTTCCAAAAATATCATTTTTCACCTATTGACACTAGTTCCCAAAATCTTACTTTTCCCTTTACCCATATCAATAACAAAAAGGAGGATGGCACAGGATTAAGCATTGTTTTGTTCTGTTGTACATAGGGCCACTATGAGAAGGAACTGATTTTACTGCAACTGACAATAGCAGCAACCATATCACCTGACTCATTGCTCCATCTGATGGAAATAGGGTATAAGTGACAGATGCTATTTTATATTTCCTAATAGCCACATTTGAAAGAGGTGACAGTCTGCTTCTTTAAGATTTACAGCCTTGCTACACATATTAGTGGGACAAGAGGAAAGTAAAATGAAATAGATGAAAGAACTAGGAGGCAAAGGGCATTT